AAGTTGTGGCTTTTTTTTTTGCCGGTTAAAAGTAATTGTGTAGTGAATATTCGTTTCAAATTAAATATTGTAAAATTATTATATGCGGTGTTTTACATCCCTAAACCACGCTATGATTATGAGAGACGCCGTATATAGTGGAGAGCTCCGGAAATTTCGACCACCTGGGGTTTCTTTAACGTGCACCCAAATCTGAGCACACGGGCCTGCAACATTTTCCGCCTCCATCGGAAATGCAGCCAGGATTCGAACCCGCAACCTGCGGGTCAGCAGCCAAGCCGTGCACTGATCCACAGAGGCGAAAGAATCTTGAGGAATTCCTGCCCAGTTTTCGAAGTAGGTACCACCGCTATTCCCAGGCTGCTTTGAAGATAAGCGTTTATACTGTATACGAAAACTGTTCGAATGGCATTCGACTCTAAAATTTACTATTGGCGCACCCCTGGAAAAGACACCCGCGCGTTTAGACTTAGCTGCACGCTAAAGAACCCCAGGTGGCCGAAATTAATCGGTCATTCCCCGACTACGGCGAGCACATTGTAAGCATGCTCTTGCTAACCTATTACACAAGGTTTTTCGCAAACTACATGACAATTCCAGATAGCGTAATATAATACAATAAAAAACAATAATAAACACGTTATTTTCGTTGCTGAGCTGAGCGCTCTGTAAGCAAGTGCTCTTTTGCGCATTCTTGTCAAGTTTTTCATTTTCGTCATTCCTCTGTCGTGACTACTTCTTGTTCCAAAGTGACGTTTTGTTTTTGTTTTTTTTTATCCACGTATTTGGTTACCGGCATTTTCACCTGCAATACTTTGTGTGTTTTTTTTATATGATATTGTTTCCGATGTTTCACACGCGGTAAATACTGTTCACGACACATCTCATATTTTTTTTCCCTTTTTCTTCGAAGTGTACTAACATTTCGTTACTTTTTTGTCTCTTTTGTGCAACGTGTATATCTTGTACAACCCACTTCTGCTTATGGCTTGCGAAGGATGCTGGCAGTAAGAAATAAATTAGTAAATAAAATAAATAAGTATCGTCCTTTTCACAAGTAGGACACCAGTAATGAAGGCGAATTCCGGGTTGAATAACGGTCATTACTTCCGCACGTTAAATAACGGAGGTCCTCATTGCGTATAACGTGCCACTGAAATCGATACGCGCTCTCATACCCATTTAGCCGTCCGAATTTGATGAAAACAGCTCCACTCTCACCATGGGAGCGCACACGGGTGGCTGGGGGTCAGGTAGGGGGGGGGCGGCTGCCCCCCTAGTCACCTAAGAGATGGGGGGGGGGCACAGTCACGCGGTACAGTGACATCAGCGTCACACATGGTCAACGAAGGCTCTTTAGGCGCCGCCTTAGTCCTCCCAGGGCTGTTAACATGCGTGATTCCCGCTCATAACTGCACTGCCGAGGTTTCCCTCTCTCGGTTTAAAAAAAAAAGGGGGGGGGGGGGGCGCTAGGACGAACCTGCGCCTGGGGTTTAGGGAGAGGGAGGGCAAAATAGACTTTAAGCGGGTAGAAATATCTATAAGGAGGTTATCTGATTGGCGGCTGAAATCAAGGCACGAGTGAAAATTATTGATTGATTGATATGTGGGGTTTAACGTCCCAAAACCACTATATGATTATGAGAGACGCCGTTCTGGAGGGCTCCGGAAATTTCGACCACCTGGGGTTCTTTAACGTGCACCCAAATCTGAGCACACGGGCCTACAACATTTCCGCCTCCATCGGAAATGCAGCCGCCGCAGCCGAGATTCGAACCCGCGCCCTGCGGACGAGTGAAAATTAAACCCTTCACTGCAAAGTACCAGTCCTCAACTTCACTATTTAAAGGTAAAAAAAAAAACGAGAGAGATAAATCTAGTTTTTGGTTCACTAAGTACATTACGGCTAGGTGGCGTTAGCCGCCACCCGATCTAAAGGGTATACAGTCATACCAATCCATCCAGACTCCCGTGAAGGGGAGGGAATTCAGCGCACGCACGTCTACGACTCCCACAGTATCTATAGCCTTCACGAGGAATATTTCGCGCGTCGATCCCGCGTATCACGTTATCTCGGAAGCAAGCCTCATAAAGATAACACGTGGTTAACGGTCGCGCTATATGACGACTGCGCACAGCATGTGCGGTGCGAAAGGGAGAACTGCACCGTCCCGAGGCGCGATAACAAAAGCTGCCGCACCGAGGATGTCGGGCACCATCTACGCAAACACGGCTGCTGCAAAAGCGCGTCTCTCCGCACAATGCGACCTTCGTTAATAACGAGAGCCTTTCACAATATGTACGATGGAATTACAATTCGGTTTAAAAGTATATATCATTGGACGCTTGCGTAACAATCGGTGTTCTATAAGCGAAGAATATTCGCGAAGCTTTTAAGTGACAGCGGGCACATTAAACGGCTAGCGCCGGCGTCACAGAAACAGCCGTGTCGGAGCACCAGCGTGGTTGGTGGGACTCTGTGACGTCACGTTAGCGTTGTCAGTGCGTCGTAGGCTGATTCCTTCGTCATTCACGAACGAACACGGAGGGTCAAGTAACGTTCTAGCGATTGATTGATTGATATGTGGGGTTTAACGTCCCAAAACCACTATATGATTATGGGAGACGCCGTAGTGGAGGGCTCCGGAAATTTAGACCACCTGGGGTTAAGTAACGTAACGTTCTAGCGAAGTCTTCATCACACCGAAGGAAGTTAATCGAACATTAACACCCCCCCCCCCCCCCACCCTTCCAATTTTCTATGCAGGCTGAGATAGGCGTGCACATGTGTTGGCAAAATGCTGTGAAAGTAAGCTTCAAAAAAAAAATAATTTCATGATTTACCTGGTGCTGGTTTTCGCACTTTCATGCTCGCGACATGAAGTAATATTTTTCGCATGCAATGCCAGCTTTTATACAAAAGTTGCGGGAAGCACCAAACCATTTTAGTTTTGCGTTTTTTTCCGCTTCGGATTTTTACGTTGTCACCGGCGTTTTAATTGATAGAGCCCAGGCGCACAAGCAACAAAACTGCAGCACCAAAAGGACACACCGAGTTCGTCTGTCGAACTCTCCTTTCCTTTTTTTTTTTTTTTTAGACGGCCAGCTCTGTTTCAAAAATAACACACGTTATACACGATGTCAATCGTTCATTACAAAACTCGAGATCGCTTCCCGGATGTGTTGCCTTTACAGATCCCGCAGCGGCTTATTGTATGCGATTTCTTACAGTAGTATTTGCGATTACAGTAGCATTGTATGCGATATCTTACAACAGTGGGCTTGTTATACAAATTATCATTTCGAGTTACACGAGGAGCAGAACAAACATGAGAAGGTGCCCCAGACAGGCTGGCCAACGCTTTGATAGGACGTATATCTTAATCAAAGGCGCCTTTTGTCATCCTTGGCGCGTTTTAAGGGGGTTAGCATTGCTGTTATGTGCAGCCACGGAGGAAGTGTGTGCAGCGGTGGCGCGTGCCACTGTTGACAACAAACACCCTTCATCAATGCCAAATCCCTTAAAACTAACACGTCAAGGATGAAAAGGCGCCTTTGACAAATATAGGTGCTCTTATCGAAACGTCGGCCAGCCCGTCGGAGGCACTTTCTCCTGTTAGTTCGAACTTTCCCACTCGAACCACACCGTGTTTTATTCTGTCCACTAGTATCTTCATTTCGAGTCATGTAGTTGGCCCACTGCCACGCGTCGCGTAGACTTGAAGGAAAAAAAATAACAACAACAAGAAATTTCGTAGCAGTGTTTACGTTTTCGCCGCATCCGAAACCACTAGCTCCTCTCAACGGGGCCTCCAAGTACCTACGCAGTGTACAGACGTAAGAATGCGGCAAGACTTCAAGACAGGTTATATGTGTGGCACTTACGAGAACTCGTCGGGCGCGTTTTTTTTCGTTTTCTTTTTTTTTTCGACAACGTGACCGCTAGCTATTAGTGTTGCGTGCGCTAAATGGCACCGATATGTACGCTCAGCGCCAGCTGCTTAAAATTCTACAGCATTACATGAGGCATGGACATGTTTTGTTGCAAAATGTTCGCACGGGCCATACTGTCATATCAAGAGCTTATGGACAATTTTAACACAGGTGTCGACACTTCTGATCACGGTCCGACATGTCACGAGATCGAATCTCTTGACCACGTTTAGCTTATTAGCGCCAGCTGCACAAGTGGACCAATCAGTGCTGAGCAATTCGATCACGATCGGACCCAATCGCGATCAGCAGTGCACCGCACGACACCGGTATAACAAACCATGACCTACTACACTCCTGACCTGTTCAGATAGCGGGGTTCCTATGGGAGCGCGTGTCCCCGCTCTCGTTCAATCGCTCGCCGTAGGTGGCGCTACCTATAACCTGTTCGTCTGCTACTTTACGGCTGTTTGGACGGCGCTAGAGTAAGAACGGCTGCATTCCGTGATGAACAGCCGGCATATATGTGACTATTTTTTCACTTAGATGACTGGTCAAGTAAGCTGTTCAGTGTGACGAAAAATTTATTGCACACTGGTGGACAAATGCGAGAATCCGTAGACTTACATAGTGTAGGACAGCATATGTGATGTTGCGTCCATTTAATTGCAAAGAATTTGTGAATGACTTTTGAAATATTTGTTTCAAAATTATTTTTCATTAGTGCATAATAATTACGCAATATGAGTGCTCTGTTGGCCGAAATATGACCACGAACACTCAAGCTGACGTCAGCGAACAGGTGCTGACTAGCGCCACAGTGCTCCTAAGTTACGGCCCTAGCGGCAGAAGGTATGAACTAGAACGTGGGCGCTGGAAGAGGTGCTCTCTGGGCAGGTCAGGAGTGTAGTAGGTCATGTAACAAACACCTAACGGCGGTGCATCGCGGATTTGGAAACGCGATCGCGCGAACGAAGGCGCGGTAGTAGTATAGTAGTATGATACATCCAGAAGACGAAGAAACAATAATCTATGGATGTACGAATCGCATCGGCGAGACACTTTACCTGTATTAGGCCACCCGTTTGGAATGAGGTGAAGATGAACATGAAGGCGAAGCCGAGGAGGACGACGTTGAACATTGGCACGTTCATGTTGACGGCGTTGCGTGGTTTGAGCGGAGAGTTCCCGTCCGTGATTTCGTCGGACTGCGCGTACTTGACCTGCTAGCTCCGGGGGGCGGGGTATCAGCAGCACCGGAGATGCTCCACAAACATATGATCGACTCGCCGTGGGAGTTTAAGCGAGAGTTCCTCGGCGCAGAGCATCTCCTCCCTTCCACCGAGTGGCACGAACGCCGAAGCGAGTTCACGATAACCCAAGCACTTTTCCACAGCGCGACGTTGACGGTGCCTTGGCGGCACGACGTAACACACTACCACGGAACCACGGAACACCTACCGCGACCCGCTAATGCTGGTGTCTTGCTATTTTGTCGGTGTTTTGTTTACTTGCGAAGACCTTCGTCATAAGGTAGTCGGGCTGCCAACTAGCCAATTTAAAATGTGCACATATCGACCCACAAATAAAGTACTTGCCGATCGTCCTGCCATCTTTTGCGTAAAACGTCAAGTTAAAACATCAATTAAAAACAAATTTTTCACAGTTATGTGTTAGTACGAATTCAATAAAACAGCAGTTTTATATGCCAGCTTAATTTTAGTGCATGCGAATAGTGAATTTGATAGCTTGTTTAGTGAGACTATACTTTCAAAATCTCTGAGATTTGCAAATATCAAGTTTTGGTTTCGTTTCCACAGTAACTTGAATTTGCCTTAAGATAACCTTTAACTTCGCTTATAAGTAGACAAGACAACTTAAATTTATTGTTATATTCAGTAAAAAAGATTAGATTTAATTGTTCAGTTTTCAGATAATAATATTACGTAACTTTTTTTCTCAACTTTACAGTGCCAATCTTTAAGGACATGCTTTAGTGTACTTTTTTTCTCAACTTTACAGTGCCAATCTTTAAGGACATGCTTTAGTGTACTGTGAATTTCCCTTAATACGTCACGGTCGCCATAGAATGTTGTGCGTCATCATGCTTTTGTCGACTTGTTTCTGGCTTCGGCACGGGTGACACAGCCAGGCCAGCCATTGATTTGCTGCGGTGTCGTCCGTGCCGTGCTTCTCCGTCGCAGCGGGAGACGGGGCAGCTGACAGCGTTTCCGTGCGAACCCCTTGAAGACGGTTCGACGGTCTGAGAGGACCGGACAACCGCCAACGCGATGGTGACCACCGCCGATTCGAACGCGACTCCCCAGAACCAGGCGGACGCGGGCGGCGCCAAGGAAGACGACGAGAGCCAGAATATCTGGTCGTCCATCCTCAAGCAGGTGCAGGAGAGCCTGCCCAACAAGCTGCCGTCGCACAAGCTCCTGCTCGTCATGGGCGACAACGAGTCCGGTAAGACGACCCTGATAGCCAAGATACAGGGCAACGACGACCCCAAGAAAGGATCGGGTACTCGAGTACCACTACCTCTACGTGCGCGACGAATACCGCGAGGACCAGACGCGACTCGGGGTGTGGGTGCTGGACGGCGATCCGTGGCATCCGCAACCTGCTCAAGTTCGTCCTCACCGAGGAGACGCTCGAAGACACGACCGTGCTGCTGACGGCGTCCATGACGACGCCGTGGTCGCTGCTCGACTCTCTGCAGAGCTGGGCGACCGTGCTGGAAGAACACCTGTCCAGACTCCGCCTCCCGACCAGCACAGTGGAGAAGAACAGGCTTCGCGTCATGCGCCGCTTCCAGGACTACATCGAACCGGGAGACGAGATCGAAGGCGTGAGCTCGCCGCTGCGCCGCACGTCGGCGACGATCGGAGGCGAGGACGGAGACGCGTCGTCGTCCGCCGCCCACGCGCTGCCGCTGCTGGGCGAAGAAACGCTGGTCAACAACCTCGGGCTCGACGTCGTCGTGGTCGTCACGAAGACGGACTACATGAGCACGCTGGAGAAGAACTACGACTTCAAGGACGAGCACTTCGACTTCATCCAGCAGGCGGTGCGCAAGTTCTGCCTGCGCTACGGCGCGGCGCTCTTCTACACGTCCGTCAAGGAGGACAAGAACTGCGACCTCCTCTACAAGTACCTGGTGCACCGCATCTACGGCTTCCCCTTCAAGACGCCCGCGCTGGTCTGTCGAGAAGGACGGCGTCTTCATACCGTCCGGCTGGGACAACGACAAGAAGATCGCCATTCCTGTACGAGAACATCACGTCCGCCTCGCCGGACGACCCCTACTCCGAGGTCATCACGCGGCCCATGACCACGCGCAAGCCGCTGCAGCGCGAGCCGGAGGTCCTGGCCGAGGGCGACCAGGCGTTCCTCGCGCGCCAGTTGGCCCAGCTCAACCAGCAGGCGCAGCCGTCTCCCGGACGCGCGACCTCCTCGGACGCTGCGGCGGGGGCCGCGGGAGGCGCGCGGACGCCCGTCGGCGTCCAGAAGTCGGCAGAACGTCGGCTTCCGGGCTCGCACGGCGCCCTCCCCACGCCGGGCAAGAAGGACACCGAGTTTGCCAAGCTGAGTCAGGCCGACGGCGCCAAGGTGGGCAACGAGGGGGTGCTGCAGAACTTCTTCAACAGCCTGCTCAACCGCAAGACGGGGCCCGGCAGCACGCCCATCCGCACGGCGGCCGACAAGTCGCTCATGCACAACGATGCTGCAGCACAGCTGGAGCGCATGACGCGCTCCATTGCCAAGAATAAGGGCCTGCCGCCTGCGAGTCCCGCCGCTGCATCCTCCGCTGCGCCGACGACGCCGACGGAAGAGACGCCACCGGCCACCAACTCGTTCAGCTCGTGAAGAGGGACTTGCTTCTGGCCCAAGAGTTGGGCTACTTGGCGAGGGTACAAATTGAAATTCGTTGCAGCGCAGCACTAGGTACAGGCAAAAGGAAGGCTTTATCTGTGCGTGGTCTTGTGCTGAAATGAAGTTCAAGATGAATCACTTTTACCAGTGACCCGAAGTATGAAATGATTGGACAGCAAGGGTTTCGGCAGTGCATTGCTGTGTGGCAGGATTGGTTGCATAGTGCACTTCAGAGCAAAGGATTGGGTAGGGCAGTAATGTTGCAAAGGTGCCGCGGCAGGCTTGTTTTTTTTTTAATAGCATTCATGTACGCCATATAGTGTTGATGAAACACCCAACTACAACATGGGATGAGCAGCATCCTTTGTCTACACTTTGTGGCACACATGAACAGGTTGTGATAGCCTTGCAGCGAAAGGCTTGCTGAAGAACAATACACAATAGTTAAGTATGAAATCTCAAAAAAAAGAAAGAAAAAAACAGGCAGGCAAGATTGCTTTGAGGGCCCAGGGACGCCAACCGATTTTGGTAGATGCAGCTTACAAGTGAACTTCCCTTGTTTCACAGCTTTTTGTGTCGTTCTGCATGCATAGATCCAGTGAAAATGAGCTTCTCATTATCAGTGGCCAGTAAGTCTGCATTTTCATGGCAGAGATTGAGTGATGACATTACAAGAAAGTCGAGCTTCAACCATGCTTTGCGAACCTGCTTCTGGGCATCTCTGTTTGAAGGAGCAGTCTGGTGGAGCTTTCCCAACTGCAGCCCGCACGCTAATACTATTTTTAGTCTATTTCCTGGTACATTAGACCAACTGTACTATGCACACACGGTAAAAGGTGTGAGTGCCTGGACTTCGCTGTCATAAAATCTAAGAGGTCTCTTTTATAAGGGTTCATCTTATAAAATGGTGACCGTCTATAATGTGTCGGTTGTGGTGGTTTGGTAGTAGAAATGTTCGCAGTGTGGTTTCTTTGGAATGGATTTCCCCGGGTCGGTTTGAAGTTAGCATAAAGCATGGCTCGGTATAAACAAGCTTTTGCTACGTACTACGCACTTAGGCAGCTATGCAGCTGTTCTTGCCAAGAAATTGCCATCTAAGCCCATGCAGTTGTCAGCTTCGAAGTGGCACCGAAGGACTGCAGATTGATCGCTTTGCTAGCCGAGTGTTTTACTCTTCAAGTTAATTCTCACCTGTGATGTCGTGTTCAGCGGTGACGCAGGTTTCCTCAAGCGTCGACATGTCCGATGCTGGGTGTGTAGCTTTACCTTCAGCGCGGCCTTATTTATGTTCAGTTGTGGCTTTACTTGCGAAGTGTTCGCTTCAGCTGTGCAAACTTAGAGCAGCTTTAGTATGCAAAGAAAAAACCAAAAACAAAACAGGTCTGTTCACATTCCCTACACGAGATGGTGTCTTTTAATATGACGTGTACTGGTTTGCATGATGGGAAGATATACGAGAAACTGCTTAACATTTGGTGCATGTTACATTGGCTTGAGGGTAGAGCGGGCTTAATGTAAACACAATGGAAGTAATAAAATGTTTCTGAACTATGTTTTATGACAGCTGCAATGTTGAAAAATGTGGTTGAGTGGTCTTAAAAAGCATTTCTTTTGTCATCTTGAGTGAGGTGCTGTTTAGCCAGACATGTCATCTCAATGCTACAACTAGTAAGCTTAGTTTGCTGTCGAGATAGCCGAGTAATAGTAAGCTAGCAATAGTTCTCTGCTAACAACTAGTAAATGCTACTTGCTGCTTTCTGTTTCAAGCATCAAGCTCTTATGCATGGTATTGTGTTTTATGCAGGTTTTCTAAATTATTCAAGTAAAGAGAATCAGCTTTTACGCTCCTAAAACCATGCAAAACATTCAGCCAAATCTTTGAACACAAATCCCAAACAAATCACTCATGGTAAAAACTGCAATTTTAGTTTGTGCAGCTGAGTTACACAAAAGAGGGTGACAAAGTCTACTATAAACAATATGGTAATATTCAGTGACAAATGACTTTGATTGGTGCCATCCGTTCTAACATGAATTGAGATCTATATCTGACCGATTCTTGGACTATCTCCCCAAGTGGTAAGGTACCAACATTTCTTGTACAATCAATCGTCAATATCCTATTAACGTACGGTGATTTAGGTTACCATAATGGTAAGCGTATGTTTTTTTACATATTTTATGCTTCTCATTGTTAAATGCCAGCTTACATGGAGAAAAAGCTTGTGTAAAAACAGAATCGAAAGTTGGGCTAGTTGGATATGCATGGTATAACTATCATTTAAAGCGCACGAAAAAACAGACGTAAAGAGAGGACAAGCGCTTTCTCGCAACTAAACTGTTTATTAGAAAGGGCGGAATATATATACAGGCAACTGAAAAACACGACTCATGCATGTGCAGGCAAAAAAGTACATCAGTGGCACATCAAGAACACATGGTAAAAGAAAACAGATTATATCGGAACATACTCAAGAAAAACAAACTCTTTATCGTGCAGCAAAACAGAAGGCTGGCTGACGCATTGATCCCCTCTTTTTCTTATGTGAAACGCTTCTGTCAACTCGCGAGTTAATTTATTATTTGACCGAAAAACCACTTCAGTATCCTGAAAAAGAGGGTGACAACCGCACTCTCTGCAATGAGCCGCAAGATGCGATGCACCTACAGATTTCAAGGAAGAATCGTGCTCTCTGAGACGAACATTGACGCATCTTCCCGACTGACCGATATACACTTTACCACAGCTTAAAGGAGTCATGTAAGCAACGCCCATTGCGCACTCCACGAACTTTTTGCTGTGCTTTATGTGACATTGCGGAAACTCTTTGCGCATGCGTGAACAAATAGACTGTAGTTTGCCTTTGGCTGAGAAAAGCACATCGACTTTATATCTATTAGCTAATTGCTTAAGTTCATGTGAAGTCTTATGAAGGTAAGGAATCACTGATATCCTCCTATCCTTTCTGCTCTCTTCACGACGCTCCGAGTGATTCCCTTCAAATTTAAGTTTCTTAATCATGTTGTTACAAACTGACGTAATGACATCATTAGGATACCCTGCTTCTACTAGTTTTTACTTGACTATGAAAGCTCATTTTCAATCTGTGTTGACAGGACTTTTTTAGAGCAAAACCCAAACTCGTAGTAACGATACCTCTCTTCACCAGCTTAGAGTGGCTCGACCTGTAATTAAGTATAGGCTTTACAGATCTGGGACAATAAAACCAGCAAACATGCTGGGGTTCAAAGATCAAGTTGAGATCTAGAAATTGCAGTTGATTTAGTCGCGGCAATTCAAAAGAAAAGTTTAGTTTCTTGCCTGTTTCCTTAAAAATCTTGACAATATTCACAACATCTCGCATAAAATCTGAGGACGTAGTGAACACAAGAAAATCGTCGACGTATCTGAATACGCGAACCGGTAGTCCTGAAAAATGATTTTGAAGTGCTACATCAATTTTTCCGAGAAAAATTTCGCTTAAGATCGGAGCTACTGAAGAGCCTATGCAAATCCCTGATCTTTGGACAAAAAGATTGCCCCTCCAAGCCACAAAAGTTGACTTCAGGTAGCAGCTAAGTAACTCTAGAAAGCTGGATATAGAAGTTCCACACTTCAGGCTGAAAGACAATTCATCATTATCTTGCACGATGCAGCCTTGAACACTTGCCATCAGCTCATCTTGAGGTATTGAATAGTACAAGTCCTCAATGTCTATGCTAAAAGCTCTACAATTGCTAGAACTATTGGTGTTCAGAAACTGTACCACCTCTTCTGAATTACGGACACTATAAGGATCCGGAATAGCAAGAGTTTCTAAACAGCTTTGCAGGTATCTAGAAACAACACTTTGCCACGTGTCCCTTTCGGACACAATCGCTCTAAAAGGCATTTCTGGCTTGTGTGTTTTGACCGAAAAAAATATATCAAGTTCAGAGCGCTTTGCAGATTTGACCTCAGAAGCTAACCGCTCAAAATTCATGTCAGAGAGCAAAGAACAAGCATTTTTTCTTTACTTTTGAACTCTTGCAATTTGCAGGCACAAAGTTCTTGTCGAGTGCTTTCACGGCCTTCTCTGAAAAGTTTCCCTCATCCATAACAACAAAGAAACCTTCCTTGTCAGCTACAAGAAGTTGTAGTTTGTTACCTGCCAAAAACTTACAAATTGGACGAACTCTGTCCCTACACTGTGCGTTCGTCTCAGTCTTAACAATGGCATCCACACACTCCGAAATGCATCTGGGTCGCTCCTCTTCCACCACTTGCCTGGAAATGGACCGTGCTAACACCAACTTCAAGTATCTCTTGACGGCCAAGTATCTCTGGCGACAAGTTCTTCCGCTACTTCCAAAAAGCAAGAAGTCGCTTGCGCAAGCTGGAAAAGTGTTGAACCTGAGCGCCACAACAATTCCTGACAAGTACCTTGATGTTCTTCGTCTTGGTCCCAAGTTTCGTTTCGAGCCGTCACTCAAGCGGGTGGACAAGTTGGTGTTAGCACGGTCCATTTCCAGGCAAGTGGTGGAAGAGGAGCGACCCAGATGCATTTCGGAGTGTGTGGATGCCAATGTTAAGACCGAGACGAACGCACAGTGTAGGGACAGAGTTCGTCCAATTTGTAAGTTTTTGGCAGGTCATCATCATCATCATCATCATCAGCCTGACTACGTCCACTGCAGGACAAAGGCCTCTCCCATGTTCCGCCAGTTAACCCGGTCCTGTGCTTGCTGCTTCCAATTTATACCCGCAAACTTCTTAATCTCATCTGCCCACCTAACTTTCTGTCTCCCCCTAACCCGCTTCCCTTCTCTGGGAATCCAGTCAGTTACCCTTAATGACCAGCGGTTATCCTGTCTACGCGCTACATGCCCTGCCCATGTCCATTTCTTCTTCTTGATTTCAGCTATGATATCCTTAACCCCCGTTTGTTCCCTAATCCACTCTGCTCTCTTCTTGTCTCTTAAGGTTACACCTACCATTTTTCTTTCCATTGCTCGCTGCGTCGTCCTCAATTTAAGCTGAACCCTCTTTGTAAGTCTCCAGGTTTCTGCTCCGTAGCTAAGTACCGGCAAGATACAGCTGTTATATACCTTCCACTTGAGGGATAGTGGCAATCTACCTATCATAATTTGAGAGTGCTTGCCGAATGTGCTCCACCCCATTCTTATTCTTCTAGTTACTTCAATCTCGTGGTTCGGCTCTGCGGTTATTACCTGCCCTAAGTAGACATAGTCTTTTACAGCTTCAAGTGCACTATTACCTATCTCGAAGCGCTGCTCTTTGCCGAGGTTGTTGTACATTACTTTCGTTTTCTGCAGATTAATTTTAAGACCCACTTTTCTGCTCTCCTTGTCTAACTCCGTAATCATGAGTTGCAATTCGTCCCCCGAGTTACTCAGCAATGCAATGTCATCGGCGAAGCGCAGGTTACTAAGGTATTCTCCATTGACTCTTATCCCTAACTGTTCCCATTCTAGGCTTCTGAAAACCTCCTGTAAGCACGCGGTAAACAGCATTGGGGAAATTGTGTCCCCCTGCCTTACACCCTTCTTGATTGGTATTCTGTTGCTTTCTCTATGAAGCACTATGGTAGCAGTTGATCCCCTGTAGATTTCTTCCAGAATGTTTATATATACTTCATCTACGCCCTGATTCCGCAGTGTTTGCATGACGGCTGATATTTCTACTGAATCAAACGCCTTCTCGTAATCTATGAAGGCTATGTATAGTGGTTGGTTATACTCTGAGCATTTCTCTATTACCTGATTGATAGTATGAATGTGGTCAATTGTTGAGTAGCCTGTTCGAAATCCTGCTTGTTCCTTTGGTTGATTGAATTCTAATGTTTTCTTTACTCTGTTAGCAATTACCTTTGTAAATAGCTTGTATACTACAGAGAGCAAGCTGATCGGCCTGTAATTCTTCAAGTCCTTGTCATCTCCTTTCTTATGTATTAAGATGATGTTAGCGTTCTTCCAAGACTCTGGTACTCTTCCCGCCAGGAGACACCTCGTAAACAGGGTGGCTAGTTTTTCTAACACAATCTGCCCTCCATCTTTCAGCAGATCTGATGTTACCTGATCCTCACCAGCAGCTTTGCCCCTTTGCATGCTCTCCAAAGCTTTTCTGACTTCTTCTATCATTACTGGTGGGGTGTAATCTGGGTTACTGCTAGTTCTTATAGTATTAAGGTCCTGGTTGTCTCGGCTACTGTACAGATCCCTGTAAAACTCCTCCGCTATCTTAACTATCCTATCCATATTGGTAGTTATTTTGCCTTCTTTGTCCCTTAGTGCATACATCCGACTTTTGCCTATCCCAAGTTTCCTCTTCAATGCTTTGACACTTCCTCCGTTTTTCAGAGCGTGTTCAATTCTCTCCATGTTATACCTTCTTACATCGCATACTTTACGTCTATTAATCAACTTCGAAAGCTCTGCCAGTTCTATTTTGTCTGTTGTACTTGACACTTTCATGATTTGACGCTTCTTAATTAGGTTCTTCGTTTCCTGTGAAAGCTTGCCAGTGTCCTGTCTAACTACCCTGCCTCCAACTTCCACTGCACACTCCATAATGATACTCGTCAGATTATCATTCATTGTATCTACGCTAAGGTTGG